TTTGTCTCTTTGACGAGTTCGTTGCTGGCGAAAGGTCTGAGAATGTAACCAGTCCACGATCTGATGCTGGGAAGTATAATAAGCACTATGGCAGAATACTTTGAACAAGGTGCTTTCTACTAAATCGCCTTGACAGTAAGACCAATTTGCAAAAACAAGGTCAACCAACTTCTATAAATCGAAAGGCGATTGCGAACATACCGAGGACCATACTATCTTGGTCTTCATATATTCGATTTAACGTTTAGCTCCTAACTCAGCCTAATAAATTTCAAGAGAGTGTAGGTTGGATCCGAATGGATCACTGGATTTTTTACTTGGGCTAGTGCCATCTTAAGTCGTTTTAGGTGATGTTAGGACAAGTAGTTGAATTTTTCTAACAATAAAATGACTCGAAAGTTTCACCATTCCAATGAATTTTATTCCATCCTTCCGCCCAAAAGACTATTTCATCTCTATTGGACGGTAGCTTCAGTCTCGCACGTTACTCATCAGACGCCCGAGCGGGATTCGAACTATTTGGAGTATCTTATCAGTTTACCCTCTTCTCCATGCTTTAGGCTGAAATCTAGTTGCCGAGACAGCAACGTAATTGAGGTCGATGAATTCTCTCGTATCTCGAGGTGAGGCTGACTAGGGCAGAAGGAATACGAGATTATTTTCCGGATTGCTAACAGCGAGATGAGCCAAGCCATTTGCACCTTAACAACGGTCAGGAGGGCAAACTGACTAACTTTCTGAGAATGCCTCCTGTTGACATGCCGTGTTCACAACTCACTTCTCCCCTCATTCCAGTTATCTCCGGGATATCCCATCCCACATGAGCTCACACTTTAGTCCCCCTTGCACTCTTGTGCGCACACATACACACGAGTGTACATCCGCACATCTAGCCATGTATTGCATCGCACATGCACTCAGGCACATGAAGCCAATCGGATGGGCATGTTGCTCACTACATTACATTTTTATTATCATATTGAACTGCATATTTATGTGCACAGGTGTGTATCGGTGGGGAGGAAGAATGAGCCACGGAAACGCGAGGAAGCCAAAAGATTATTTCGCGTGCAATAATAGCCCTCAGATTGCCCAACCTCAGTTGATGCTGCTAGTTTAAATTGGGCTAACCGACCGGCATTTGGCCTCATTACTTATTTTCCCATCGGTTACAGGAAAATCCGTCTGGGCGAGATGTTACGAGATAGGCAAAAGGGTGAAGAGACGAAATCCTCCGCCTAATCCGCTTACCTTTGCCGTCCTGCTCAAGCCGTCCTTTTACTGTAGGCACAGTTGGTCACTTGTGAGAATACTGATGCTATCACCTTCGAGTATTGGCGGCCTCACTAGCCACTTTTCCTTTTATCCGCTGAACAAAGCCAGCGGATTTCATCGCTGCGCACTTGGAGCTCAAGCCGGTCTCTCTCCGGCCGTGTTCTTTTCCATTCCCAATATCCCGGCCAGCCGGTCAGCCAACCAGCCAGTCGACCAATCCCGCTTCGACCCTCATCTATTCGCCACATTCTCGAGGTCGGCTCAGCTCTGGCGGCCACGAGTTCACGACGTAGACGACGACTTATTGCCGGGTCTGAGGCCATTTTATCTTTTGTCTTGAGCCTCTTCAAACGGCAGCAAGTAATGCACACGAAGACGCCGCTACGGGCAAGCCGAGAGTTGTTGCCGGGGCCTGTTTGGCCGTCACGGCGTCAGGAATGTAGACGACTTGGCTCGTCCACTCAGCTCATGTGACACGCAAGGGAGGGCAGAGGCGAGGGTACAAGTTGTCTCCACTTCGCCCTCTCCACCTCCGTCTGGCGTGGCTGAGTCAAATGGCAAGGTTTTGGGGTTGAATGCCCACAATTGCCTCATCTCCTGTATGCACCATCCTGAGGCTAGGCTTGGCTCAGGCGAAAAGCAGAAAAAAAGTCATCTACCAAACAGAAGGGCTTGGATGGTTAAAGCTGTAAGAGGTGAGTGTTCAATGCAGAGATTGACTGAAGTGTAGGTGCACTGATTTTATCTCAATTTGTCGATGATCTCTGCTACTGTTCCAGCCACTTGAGTAATTTAATCTGCTTCCCGGGTGGACAATTAGACAACTTCATGTGAGTGTGATAAGTGCGTTGTTATGTCGACTGCACATGCGCGTGTATGTGTGTGTCTATTGTGTTGTTGTGTTAGCCATGGCAGTGTGAGGAAGTCAAGAAGAAATAGTGAAATTACCCTTTCTTTGTCGTAGTTGAATGTATGAAGAGGACACTTTGGTGTAGAAATGTACCGGTTTCGATTGATTACCACACGGATCACGATGAACTGAAGATAAGGCTCCATTTTGCCATGCATCACAAAAGGCTGTTCGTATCGGCCGTCCGGAGGGGCAATTTTCAATGCAAATATCAAATCTTATCTTTATCGAGTGTATGCAGAAGCCAATCGAAATTGGTACACCTCGACAAGCATCGGGCTTTGGATGTCCACAAAATCAAACTGTTACTAAGGCGAAAAATTGTTGCAACAATAGGAATGCCACAAATATCGAGGCAAAAGCCACTTGTAGGTATGAATACCAAGATGGTGTGGCCTTTTGTGTGGTCGCAGTCTACTTTCGTTGTATAGAAGTTGTTTGACCTTGTTTTCGCAAAATGGTCATATTGGTAGGAAGACTTATTAGAACGCAGCTAGTCCGGGGTCCATTGTCTGCATGATCATTTCCAAAGGTGAACCGTGGACGTGGTACATTCCCAAACGTTTCGCCGGCATCGTCAGTGAGTATCGCCATTCTTAGCACCATACAACAACTCGTCAAAGAGACTATTGTAATGAGAGGCATTCACCCTATTTCGTATAAAGTGATGAATGACTAGTAGTAGAATTTTCCCACAATGATATGAGTTTAGCTGACGTTTCTATAGCCTTGCTTTCCCAAAAGTTGTTCTCATCCAGGCACCAGTGGACTGCAGTTTCGACCTCGCATTCGT